ACTGCTCATCTCTCTCCAGCTCTTACCCTTTTTCGTGGGCAGGCAAGCTGACTGTCTCCCTCATCAATATTGTGCACTCTATCCTGGTGCCCTCTTCATTTAGCTTTGTCTCATCTCCAAATCCTGGCACAGGAATGAGTGCTACCTCATATTAACCCACTGATCTTGCCGTTATCTGCATAGCTGGAGGCTACAGGCTCTGTACCATGTGAGTTTCGCACTTAACAGTGTGCATGCATACATGCGTGCAAGTATGTATAGCTGGAGGCTACAGGCTCTGTACCATGTGAGTTTAGCACCTAACAGTGTGCATGTATGCATGCGTACAAGTATGTATGTGTCTGTTAGTCAACAGCACTGTTGTACATGTGACGTGAACACTCACCTCTGTTGAAATGCTCTCTGGCCCATCTCTCTTGCAGCTCTCTTGACCTCTTCAGGAACGGCGTCCTTCTCAGCATCAGAGATCTGGTACACTGTGTGACCTGCATCCAGCCGATAAGGACCTCCTTTTCCTCCCAGACCTGCAGTGTCTCTTCCTCCTGGAAAGAAACAAGGACAATACAGATGATAAATCTGAACCTGACTACAAAACAAAAATTAGATTATGGTTTTGCAGATAGTTCTGAGAAGTAGCGAGGTATGGTGGTAGACACCCATAATCCCAGTGGTTCGGGAGGCTGAGGCAGTAGAATTGTGAGTTCAATGTCAGCCTCAGCAAAACCAATGCACTAAGCAACTCAGTGAGACCCTGTCTCTACATAAAATACAAAATAGATCTTCGGATGTGGCTCAGGTCAAGTGCTCCTGAGTTCAATCCCTAGTTACCCAACCCCACAAAAAAAAGATATTTCTGAGAAGTATATTAATTGTACTTAACAGTAATTAAAAATTCAAATAACCTTTTTCTTAAAATAAAGGTTTTCCCCTATTTAGCATGATTTTCTACTTTTCTTATCCATCCAAATCTACATGTTTTTCAAGTTCCATTACGAATTCTATGACATGCTTCGTCTGAGGCCTATACCTCATAGGGACTGATACTCAGGTGTACTATTTATTACTCTTCATTATTTTTCCTTTCCCTAAAAACTATGTAATGGATGGGATCATATTTTATTTATATTTTTAACTCTGCCCTAATTGCTTGAACAATATAAATACTTAGTATAGATCTGCTAAATAAATGAGCAACTCTTCCTTCACTTATTACCTTATTTTCCCACAAAATAGAAAAAGACAGTGAAGCTATAGATAAAATTTCTTTTGTTTTGAAAATAATGAAAAACAATACACAGAGAAGTTAAGTGATCTAATGATGACCTCTGGCATAACTAAGATCTGAAGCCAATTATTATATCAACTTTGACTTTTAGCTTTGAATAATATACAATGGATAAATATTAACAGTTTCAGAGCAGCCTTTCAATA